AAAGCATTCATGTCAAAACAGTGTCAAAGGTCATAAGTGCATCTCACATAGTTGCCTTTTGATAGCCAACAAATTCAGTATGAAACAGGAATAAAGAAGATGATTTTAATGTACTGCCTCCTTTTAACACTTTTTACCCTTCCATTTTATCACTGCAATTCTAAAGAAAGTGAATATATTTTCTTTTTTAAAGTTTGCCTTAAAAATTATTTTTGATGAAATATACCCACATTTATCCTCAATATTTATATTTATTTACCATATTTTTTCTTATCATTACTGAATTTTAAACTTATTTATACCCTACATTACCAAATATTATTTATACGCCTCAGTTACCAAAATTTTTCCTCCTACACCTTAATTTTTTTCTTAAAATAATTCTTTTTTCTCAGTTACCAAAATTTTTCCTCCTACACCTTAATTTTTTTCTTAAAATAATTTTTTTCCTTTTTGAAAACAGTTACTGAGAAGTTTTAAACCCTTATGTAACCTAAGAATGTTAATATTGGGAGGGCTGTAACAAAAATAACAGAGGCAGCGCATTTCACAATCAACAGGTACAGTAACTGAGAATACAGGAAAATAAAATACCACGTTCAATACTATTATTTCAATAGCTTACCAGCAAAAACTTGAAAAATGACAGACAAAAACACGTGCCGACAAGTTTCTCAAAATACAATATTCTGGTCTGACTAGAGCTCTAGTGGAATATTCACTAAGAATTCTGATAGTTTCCACCAGATTTCAGCAATATGCAGAGGAAGAAATTCGCAGTGTCATTTGCAAGCATGGTGCAGTAGCCTAGTCCATTGTAAATAACACAGTCGAAGGGACCCATCTCTAGTTCCTCCCGTACCCCAACCCCTTGCCTCTCAGTGCTCCCTTAGGTAACCCCCCACCGGGGGTACCACCCACTTTAGGAACAACTGCTGTTGCCCACAGGCTGAAAAACATTGGGAACCCTTGGTGTACATGACGTCGAATCACTTTTACTGCCTTGCTTTTGTATTATGCCGCATTTGCTTTAAAACAATGGACAGTTTTGTGCTCTGCTCTCACTGCAATAGGGAATGGGTGAGAGTTGTATAATTAGTAAAATAAATGAAGAACATTAATTTTATATGTACCTGGGGCTTTCTGAAGGTTTTAATTGTAACAGTTGTAATTTTATGAACCTGTAGACAGAAATCTAATGCCGCTATAAAAGACACCGTGTATTGATTCAGTCCTGGATTTTAATAAAATCCAGGAGTGAATCAATACCTGGTGTCACTGGATAATGGAAAGGATGAGCTGTTTTACCAAACTGATTTTATTTTGTGTGTGTGAGAGAGAAAGACAGAGAGACTTGGGTGGGGGAGCTAGAAGCGTAATTTTATTTTTGAAGGCAGAAAGCAGAATAGGACATTGTTGTTCCTGATATACTCTGCTGCTATCCCAATTGAAATTAAAATGGCAAGGAGCATCAAGCCAACAATAAAACTTACAGATAAAAACTGTCCAAATTCTTCTGGCTCAGTATTCTGCCCGCTGGTGTGCACTGTAAGCATAAGAGAGGCAGCTGGTGTGAACTGGTTCTCCTCCCCTCCCTTATGAACAGGCCTAATTAGCTGAGATGACCCTGGGCTGTAATGCCACATGGTACTTGCTTTGTTTGATGCCAGATTTTCAGAGGTGAAGCAATCAAGAAAGGAAAAGATGAAGTCATTAGGTGCCCTCTAGTGGAACAGTCATGCAGTCTTCATTTTAAAGCAATGGGAGTCCACAAGTGTTTAAACAGGAATTGATACATTTTGCAGCCCACTCCAATGGTGCTTGCAAAAAGTGTTTGGTGCTGCAGCACTTGCATGGGTGCCAATGCCTCAGCATCCTGTGATGGACTGCTGGTATTGCTGATGCAGGTCCAGGGTTCAAGCCCCCCTCACTCTTCTTTCTCTGTCCTCATTCCAACTTGTATTTATGTGTTTACCTCACCCACCTTCCTTCCCAATGGGCTCCCAGAGCAGCTTACAACATTCTCCCCTTCTCTGTTTTATCCTTAAGACTACCCTATGAGGTAGGTTAGGCTGAGACTGTGTGACTGACTCAAGGTCACCCAGCAGAGTGGGAATTCGAACCCAGGTCCTCCAGATTCTAGTCTAACACTAACCATTACACCACAGAGGCTTTTTTACAGAAATATGGGTATTGGGGAGACGTCTGTAACATGTTGCTGATCATGAGGGTGGGAGAGGGTTCAGCATTGCCCCTGGCCTTGCTGATGTGTTGTGAGAACTATGGTATGTAGGCTATGACATCTGGCATGTCTCTGAGTATGCCTTTGTGGATTTTTGGCTCCAACAATAAATTTCTGTGGCCGTGAAGGCTGATACATTTATAGGGGATAGTGTTTAGTGTCACCCTTCTCATTCCCCCTCATAACCCTCCTTGTGATCCGCTCTAGAGTGCAGCAACTGTTGAAGCTGAGAAACATCCCGAATATTTTTCTACATTAACACAAGACCATGGACCATGGACATTAACACAAGACCTATTGCATCAGTACAATAGTATGACAGTCATTATATGTTTTAATAGTTAGCTGCCTGGGTGGCCCCAAGTCCCACCTGCAGGCTGACATCCTGTACGGAAGCAATATGTGGTATTTTTCTTTGCCTTCTAGATGATTAACTTGCAATAGAGACTGTAAGTTGTTCCCGCTTGACCCCTGTGAAAGAGTGCTAATTTAACATCTGTGAACTGTTCCAGTTGAAGCCCTTGGTGTTTTTTCTTTAAGCGCTCTACACCTCCAAATAATAATTAGTTATTTGGACTTGATTGGCTGGCAGGTTGTTTAATATCAGGCGCCTTTCTTTAGAATGGTACCCACTCACCTTCCAGATCATGTGGGTCTGAGAGCACAAAACTTTGTGAACTGTTGGTATGCTGGTATGTTTGTTTTCTCACTGTCGCCATACAGTGATTTGTTATTTTTCTTTTAATGATCTTTATTACATTTTGTCAGGCTTTCTAAAAGCTGAAGTGTGGAGCAGCGTCGTTAATGGGTGCTTCCCTCCCCTACCCCAGAGCCGAACCAGAGACTGAAGAGGTGAACCTTTAAAGAGCAGAGTGCCTTGAGTCCTGCTAAAGTGAATAAGCTGTTCCTTGCCAATTTGAGGTCTGGAGCCCCTGTAGAAGAACCAAGAGAGAAGCTCCCAGGTCATACACATCCCTATAATCACATTGGAGGGCATGAGAGGATAAGGAATATTTCAATGCAGTGTGGTTTTCCCCTGGGTCAGTGAATGTTTTGTTCTGTCTGCATTTTTACCCTATTTATGTATTTATTTAGGAAATGTACATGTTGCTTTTCCACTAAATGTACTCACATAGACTTAAAACCCTCTTGTGATAGCCTTATATCCTTCTCTTAGCTGTCAATTCAGTTGCACAACTACCGGTCCATGTGTAATGGACTGGATTTTATTTTCATATTCGATTGATATATAGGCTGCCTTTCTGCAATATACTCCAAAGGCATGTTAAATGAAATAAAACCACAAAAACACAATAAAACAGAAAATAATACTGGCAGCATATAAAAGTACCATTCACCTTTTTAAAAAAAAGCCAAGATGACATTGAAAGTGAATGGCTTGCAAGATAAGGACAGTGTGTGCTGTGGGAAAGAGGCTTTTAAAAAGGTTTAGATGCATGTTCCTGTTCTAGAATGACACAGGGGAGTGCTCAACTGATAAGACATTTTTTAAAAGCTCACAAAATTGCATGGGCACAGAGATTTGCTTGTCACTGTTTGCATCCTATGTTGTGACTTAATGTCAATCAAGTATGCTATGTAGCCTGTATGGTTTTTCCCCCCATAGGTTTGATTTGATTAAGTTTGCATAAGACTGCTTGAAATTGCAAGGGTTCATAAAATTGGCTTGTGGGATTCCCTAAAAAGTTACATTTTCTCTCGCTCCAGCAGTTTTTGTCCTTGAGAGACAGTTACTTGGCCAGCAAAATCCAGTTTTTGTTGTTTCTTATGAACAGCTGGTCATCTGCCGACATAAATCCCAGCACAAAGTACAATGACACTGTGAATAGTTACTTCTGCTGTGTTTAAGGTATCATTTGTATGCTCAGAGGAACATCATGTTTTAGATGCTATATATTGTCTTGTTAACCCCAGAGAGTAGGTTTGTCAATCTCCAAGTGGGACCTGATATTTTCCTGGAATGACAAATGATCTCCAGATTATAAAGATCTGTTCCCCTGAAGAAAACGGCAGCTTCAGAAGGTGGGCGCTATGGCATCACATCCCTGCTGAGCTCCTTCCCCTCCCCAGGCTCCATTAATTTCCCTACTTGGAGTTGGCAAGCCAAGGGGCTGGGAGGGGAAGGGTTGCCAGATCCTGTGCCACGGAAGTTCCCTGAGGCCAGGGTTGCCAGGTCCTCCTGCCCACCGGCAGGGGATTGTGGATAAGGTTGCCAGATCCTGATTAGGAAACTCCTGGAGATTTGGGGACGGAGCCTGGGGAGGACAGGGACCTCAGTGGGGTACAATGCCAAAGAGTCCATCCTCCAAAGCATCCGTTTCCTCCAAGGGAACTGATCTCTGTCGTCTGGAGATGAGCTGTAACTCCAGGGGCTCCCCAGGACCCACCTGGAGGCTGGCATCCCTACCGTGACCCCTTATGGGGATAAAATGGAGAGGATAAAGGAGGAGTGTAAGCGAAGTAATTACATGCGTTTAAGGAGACGTATAGATACCTATCCCTATACCCGTGTACTGCAAATTTCCCCCTTCCCATCAACCAAGACCTGACCAGGCAACGTGAGGTCCAACGACGTGTACGTTAGAGGCGATGTCTTATGGACTGCGCCGCCACCCGCCCGCAGGTCGCGCTAAGGAAGCCGCTCAGCGCCGCTCGGCTCTGCCCTCCAGAGGCGGTTGGGGGCGTGTTTGCCGCCTGTCGCGGGAATAGGCGAAGCCTCGCGCAGGCGCACGGCGGCGGCAGCAGCAGCTCCTCGCGTGATCTCGCCCGCTGTGCCGTCAGGAGAAGGACCCACTTTCGCGACCGGCTCCTGAGGCTCTTTCCCGGCGCCGTTGGCTGGGAGGGGGAGGAGGTGGGGCCCAGGCAGGACAAGATGAAGCGGGCGCTGGCCTTGCTGCTGCTGCTGTCGGTGGGGCTGGACTGGGCCTCGGCCCAGCCGGGTGGGCTGCCGCCGGCCAAGAAGCTGCGCATGGCCTACGCCACGGGGCCGCTGCTCAAGTTCCAGATCTGGTGAGCGCGGCGGCGGGGGCGAGGGAGGGAGGAGGGAAGGAAGCTCCGCCGAGGCCTGCTGCGCTGCCCGCCCGCCCGGTCTTGCCGGTTTGGCGCCTTTCGCTTTCCCTCACGGAACCTTCCCGGCTGGCTCCTAGGGAGCACTTAGGGCCTGGAGGGGGAGCGAAATAGTAGAGGGGGGAGAGACTAGGCCCCCCCGCGAGGCGGTGGGGGCTCGGCCTGTCGCTGCCTCCAGGTGAACAGCAGGCCCTGCATTCACTCGACGGGGAAAGGGGAAGCCGTGAGGCTTGGGGGAGTCGTGCAGCACGTTGGACTTTGAACGAGCCTGTCGGCATTTTTATGTTGCCCGTCGAAGAACCTGAAGAGCGCCGTGGGTGGTCCCAGCCCTCTCTCCGTTCGCTTCACTTACACAGCAGTCCTGTGAGGTGGGCTAGGCGGAGAGACCCTTGACCTGGCCGAGTCGGCTTCCTTGCTGAGCCGGGTGTTTGAACCCCGCCCTGGTCTGCCAGCCTGTACGGCTCCTCTCACGCTGTGCGTGAAATAAGAAAGGGGGGGAGGGTTGAAGGAAAGAATCATAGACAGTGTCGTGTCAGGAATATTGGCAGATGGGAAGGCCTTGATGATAGAACAAGTGATGGGGGGGGGGATGGTTGATGGGAGAAGAAGTATAGGCTCCTCTGTAGGAAGATACCACCTGGTAGGGAGAATAGGGACGCCAGCTTTGATAAGGTAAGGCAGCATCTGTATGGTAGGGATTTCCATGGTGGGGTGAAGTTCCATGGAGATGAGGAGGGAATGTGCAAGCCTTGAGAATTTGAGGAAGAGAGCATGGGATGCCCCAGGTCCCAGTAGTGCGTGTTTATAGGATCATACACAGAAGGACTTAATTGTAAGAATCTGGTGATATTTTAAACTTTCTTTTATAGTGACTAAGATAAGGTGAGTAAGATAAGGCTGGAGAGCCAGTTTGGTGTAGTGGTTAAGTGTGCGGACTCTAATCTGGGAGAACCGGGTTTGATTCCCCACTCCTCCACTTGCACCTGCTGATGTGACCTTGGGTCAGTCACAAGCTCTGGCACAGCTGTCCTTGAAAAAGAGCAGTTTGTGTCAGAGTTCTCTCAGCCCCACCCACCTCACAGGGTGTCTGTTGTGGGGAGGGGAAGGGAAAGGAGTTTGTACGACGCCGCCGCTCTGAGACTCCAAGTGAAGGGCGGGGTATAAATCCAATCTCCTCCTCTCCTCCTTCTCCTCCTTTACTTGGTGCTGAAAACTGCACAGCGTATTGCTCTGCCACAACTGGACCTGTCAGATAGGTGTTGCTCTAACTGTTCTGCGTTTTTCATTCAGACCTGCAGTCACAAGGTTGTTGTCCTAGTCAGGGAAAGATCATGTAATTTGCACCTCTAAGTATGATAAGAAAGTTTGTATGGAATTTAGGAATGTAAGGTGTAGTTGGTGATGGATTTTCCTGAGGCATTTCTAGGTTTCCAGGGTCTTAGCTATTGCTGCAGTGTCAGAAACACTTATTTGTGATTTAATTTTGAGATATTGTACAATATGAATAAAATTATTAAATTTGTGTGGCCAAACATATTTTTGGAACCAAAGTCTAAATCTGGTTATGAATTCAGCAAAATTACCAGAGCTGTTAAAAATCTTGCCCATAAAGTGTTGCTGCTTTTCTTTAATCCAAAAGGGGTTAGCTGCGTCAGTCAATCATAACAAAATTAAAGAGGAATCCTATAGTGCCTTTAAAAACTAACAAAAAAAATTCAGCATAAGCTTTTATGAGTCAGAAATTCATAATTTCAGATGTAGTCTTCTATTAAAAAACACTCTCATGAGGAACAGCAGCTGAAATTGGAGCACTGTTTTGATTTGTGTATTTCTGATTCATGATCTTTAGAGCTTTGTAAACTTGTGACAGTGAAGCTTTTCAAATCAAGAATGTTTCCACTTACAGCTATTTTTAACAGGCATCATTGCTGCTCTTGTGTACCAATGTTACATCAGCATAGCAACACATCACAGCTGGGACCAAAGGGAAGGAAAGCTGGATACATTTTGCATTTGTCTTATAAATTCCCAATTTTGTTACTTATAGAAATCCAAGTTTTTGTTATCATTTTTTAAAAATGACTGTTTTGGTTGAAGAGGGTAACTTAAAACAACATATCGCAACAATGTGAAGGCAAAATTTGTAGAAGAAATCTTTCTAACTGGCCTACTGTTGCAGTCCTAAAGATAGTGATTTGGAAGTAAGTCTTGTTGATACTGAATACATGTTGATACATATCCACCCCCATCCATCTTTGGGCATCGGGCTGGTTCTTGTAAATAACTTCCAAGTTAGGTTCATTAACAGGCAAATAAAATGTATTTCTGTTTCAGATGGTAGATATATGTAAATGTTCTGGATGGAGTTGACTTCTTTTGTACACAGGCGTTTAAATATTTGCTAGATGCAAGTTGCAATCATATTGGGTTTTGTTAGAGGTTTGCTATTAGTGGATTTGTAGCTGTTGGATACTGTAATATATTCCATTATTATTAGTGCATAGTTAACCAATAAGCTGCACTGTATGAGCCAGCTGCAGAAATCCACACCTTCTCAATAACTACTACAAATGGACCAAAGAAGATAGAAGGCCACTGTACACAGTAGGAGCACCCAAACACAATAGAATTGTGTACAGCATTTGAATCTCTAAAAGATATTGCTGCACGAGAGAAGACATTTTTACCTTGTTGGAAAGTTCTTCAGTATGATCCTGGCTGCTTTTAGTTTTTGCAAAGGTTAACTTGTGGGCTGATAAGATCCAAAATGCCCTTTAAAAAAAAAAAAAGTTGAGCACCATCAGTATACATGGCACTTTACAGTTTTGCATAGGCAAAAATAGACAGGTTCCTGCCCCCTAAGGAGTCTGTAACCTAAAACAGACCATTGGGAAAATGGAGAGAGGAGGAAGAGTTGAATGTAGGTAAATCAGCATGCTTACAATTTGTTTGCAGTTGGGTTTGAGTATTAGCAATATGAGGACTCTGTGGGGAAGGATCAGTGTGGAGGAAGTACTTGAAGACAAAGGGGTGGTATCACATACTTCTTCAGTGGGAAGGGATTTTCAAGCATAGACGATGGAAAGGAAGACTCGGAAGAGA